TCAGTGGATAGAGCATCGGCCTGCGGACTCAAGGGTCCCAGGTTCGATTCCAGTCAAGGGCATGTACCTTGGTTTCAGGCACATCCCCAGTGGGGAGTGTGCAGGAGGTAGCTGATTGATGTTTCTCTCTCATCGATGTTTCTAACTCTATCCTTCTCCCTTCCTCTTTGTAAAAAATCAATAAAAAAAAAAGAAAAAAAAAAGAAAGAAGGGAGAGTTCTAGCTTTCATGCATTATCACAGTACATATAAAATGTGATAAGAGCATTTAGATTAGCAAAAAATTCATAGCTATGTAAATTTGATCCAGAAGTCAGAACTGGATAATTCTCTTGGCTCCCAATTTCAGCTCCTGTCCATGTCTTTATAGGAAACTTGGAAATGTTATACTTTTAACTACTCACTTGTTTCTCACCCTAGAAAGCTTTGATTTTTTTAAATCCTCCCATGGCTATTTTACTTCATATGGGAACATCTCCCAAAGTAACAGACCCCTGATTGCCTTGAAATCAGGTTGGGTCTCAGTTCTACTACGTACAAATGTGGGCAGATGGCTTAACCTCCCATTTGTGAATTGGAGAGGAAGATGATGCTCAGAAAACCTCTATGGAAACTTACAGAACTGGGAGGTACTTTTTTTAAGGGGAACAGTTTAAGATGTGGAGGGCAGAAGAAATTACATTCGCGTACCTTCTAAATGCTGTCACTGTTGTCAGGCACTTTACAACATATATTAGCTCCTTTCATCCTCTGATGTAGGCATTTGGTCTTCATTTCACAAATGAGAAACTGACACATCTAGTGTTAAACTCTAGCAAATGGTGGTGCCTGGGTTTGAATTCAAATCTCCTCCTAAAGCTTGTGATCTTTCCTGTATTACATGCAACTTGTCAAATATTTTGTAAGATATTTGCCAGAAGACTGTTATCTTCGGTAACCTGAAATGCAGGTTGGAAGTTAGGTTTTGAGAAACCTTTGGATGGCAGCTCTTTACAAACTTATAAAGGGCTGCAGATGTGTGCCACAGAACGCTGTCCCCCAAATAAACCACAGGGCTATGCTTTTGGAGGTCGTAAGACACCCAGAAGTTTTCTTAACTTGTTAAAGATGAAATGCTTTTTTTAAAGTTTTACCCACAAGTCCTATCAAGCTGTAGAATTCTGATAGCAAGAGGGAAACAAGACACACACGAGACATAAACAGTAGTGTTTCTTTCGTTCCTTCCTTCTTCAATAAATACATAGTGAGCATGTCTTGTGCGGCAGGCAAAGCACTGGTTCAAATTCAAGAGTTATACTTGCTAGATGAATTTCCTTTCTTAATTATTTTTTAAGTGCAGAGTGCGTTTAAAAAGCTTGGAGTATCAGAACTCCTTAGAAATTACATTTCCCATTTAGCATTTCTCCCAGCTCTCATGAACTTGCTTCTGAGTATATTATAAAATTAAAGATTCAGGTCTGAATCTAAACTTTTTAAACAAATCAATATGAATGAGGACAAGCAGTAACGCTTTTAACAAGATATGATATGATAGTTGCAAATCTTAGTATAACAATGCCGGTCTGAAATTTCAGTTCTTACAAATGTAGAATTTCTGCTTCCCCTCCCAGATAAGCAGGAAACATTTAGAATGAGTTGTTGTCTCAATTATATGTGGGTTTGCAGTATAGAACCCAATTCCACTCTGGCAAAGGAAAACCAAATATACTCCTCCACGCTATACACATGTTGACATATTAAAAACAAAACAAGATCCCAGAATGTTTTGTTTGTCTTCTATAGAAAAATAATATCTTGGAGAGCATTAAACACAGGGGCCGGGGGGGCGGGGGGGGGGGGCGGCGAGGGCGGTGCAGTTAAAGCCTGTGTTTTGCCCTGTGTAAAAACCCTGGATCTATGCTGGTTTACAAACTAAAATCCTAACTTGTTTTGCAGCCTCTGTGAGGTTTGACCAGAATGATTAAATAATGTGGGTTTTAAGGAACAATGAAAACCTCCCGGATCGAGGCCGCACAGCACAGCTAATGTGTTTCTTCTAGATGGAGTCTCAGAAGAGGGTTTCGGTTTACATGTAACTCTGGCCCAAAGACCATGCAGCAAGTTTGCTTTTTACAAGTCCAAGTGACAGCTGTGATATTTTTTGCCCTTTGGAAAATGGTGCGAATTTTGTTTTTGAATAGGCTTTCCGTAGTTGAGATGCTCATTTTAAAATCATCTGATTTGCAGGGCTTTCTCTCTCAGAGAGTTGCTTTCTCTGACTTTTGAAATGCAGTGAAACCCTTTTAGAAAACAACCTTCTCTTCCACAGAGTTTAGTTAGATGCATCCGGACCACATCATGGCCCCTGAAACGTAACAACTGTGCAGAGAAAGCCTGGTGTGCTAGCCTTTAAGGCAGTGGTTCTCAACCTTCTGGCCCTTTAAATACAGTTCCTCATGTTGTGACCCAACCATAAAATTATTTTCGTTGCTACCTCATAACTGTAATGTTGCTACTGTTATGAATCGTAATGTAAATATCTGATATTCAGGATGGTCTTAGGCGACCCCTGTGAAAGGGTCGTTCGACCGCCAAAGGGGTCGCGACCCACAGGTTGAGAACCGCTGCTTTAAGGTCAATAGCCCCCCTCCCCTCAACTCCACCTCTCATCGCCAAGCCCATTAGGAAGAATTTCTATCTTCCATGTCCGTGTAATTTACTACTGGGTAAGTTATGCTCCCAAATACCAAGTCAGACGCTGCTTCTGTATGAGACAATTTTGTACTTGTGTAACTCCCTATGTACTAGCCAAAGGGTTTCTTAAAAGCTTCATTCTAAAGGTGACAGGTGGGTGTAATGGAATATTTGCATTGACCGAGCCTTCTGTGAGATTGGACTAACCTGAAGGAAAACTTTCCCTTTAAGAGTTCCATCTCCTTAGGAGGGAAGGAACGTTTCTCACGCACCTCATGTAGGGCGGGCGCTCCACTCCTCACAGGAGGCATTATCTCCATTGCACGTATGAAACCAAATGGGGGTTTTCAGGGACCTGCCCTAAGTCCTGAAGCTAAAATGTCAGAGCAGGGGTTTGAGTCCAAAGTTTCCAAAGAGGAGCCTGTGTTTCTGTTAAGATACGGCCCCCTCTCTCTGGGAGAACACCCAGAAAGAGGGTGTGGTTCACTGGGCACTCCAGGCTCTCACTTATCTCATTCCTGCCCTTATGACTGAAGTTAAGACAACACCACTCACCCCTGACCATAAGCGATTCCTCTGTGAAGCGACTGGGAAGTAGGAAATGGTGGTTCAGAGTGCCCAGTCCCAGGGTTATAGACAAAGGCTCCGCCAGGTTTCCTTCTGTCCTGGGAAATTAGCTGAATCTGTGATGACTTTAGTTAATTAAAATATCTCCTTGTGGTAGCAAATGCCTGTGGGAAGGTTGCAGCCCTGCTGGGAGGTAGGAGCCCAGTCCTTTAGAGCCCAACAGAACTGGGTTCAAATCCCAGATCTGTCATTTACCAGCTTTGTGTGTGTGCCCTTGAGTTGTTTACCTCCCCTATCTAAAACTTAGTTGCTCATCTGCAAAATAAGAGAAAAAGTAATACCTTCCTTGCAAGGCTCTTGTAAGGATTAAAATAACATGTGAATGACTTAGCCCTTTGCCTGGGGTATTTTAAATGCTAAATCAATGTGAACTAGCATTATAATTATACAGAGTTTGGGTTAATGCATGGGACCTGTTGGATACTAATGACAGGCCAGGGAGTTATTTAGTGAGAAATCTTGTGGCTTATTCTGTATCTATCTATCTATCTATCTATCTATCTATCTATCTATCTATCTATCTATTCTATCATCTATCTATCATCTGTGTCAATCTATTTTGACCAGGCAAATTGAAACAAGAAAGAGGAGATTCTCATTTGGCAGTGTAGACAGTAATAACAGGTACTTTTAGTATCATTGTATTAAGTATCTGCTGGCTGCTACCCCAGGTAACAAAAGTAAAATGCAAAACAAGTTATTGTAGCTCAGGTTACCTACATTTTTGTGTTCAGATAGCCTTGGATGATTCTCATACACAGAAGTATGTACTAAGTGTTCTTTATCCTGTTTTTATAGAAGGTGTATGTGATTTGTGTGTATGTGTGATGTGTGTGTGTGTGTGTGTGTGTGTGTGTGTGTGTGTGTGTTGGTGCATTTGGGGATTGGAATAGGGTGAAAAACACAGGGAAAATACTTGATAGAAAATTTAAAATTTTGACTCAAAGGGAAAAAATAACCATGATATCAGAAAATATTTATGAAGTAAAGCAATAAAACAAACTCTGAAAATAGAAAATATATTAATGCCATATCTGTGTTGAGTGGAGAGTTAATGTACGTATTTATTATTATTTTAATATCCGTAGTTTTCAATTCTAATATCCATAGTTTCCAAATACTGATACTTTCTTCCAGTTATTTTTCCCTCTGCTGTAAGTGAACTGATTGACAGGTGATTGTTTTTTGGCAAGGAATAGGAAATTAACTCTAGAAATAAGCAAATGTTTTTTTAAAAATCAGAATCCTATGTCTTATTTATGTTTAGACTTGTTTTTGACTAGCAATGTAGAAGTGCCTTGTAAATCATAAAGCAATACACTAATATTAAATTTTGTGACTTTAGTGACATGGAAAGGAAATCATCGCTTAAGAAACATTAATTTTCTAAAATACTTTATGTAATTGTGGATATGTGCGAGTCATTTTTTATTATGGCTAGAAATAAAAGAAAATCACTCCAGGAGAGTCTTTTGTGTTCAGGGTTGTATCTGTTGACATCATATAATGAAAGAAAGAAAAAAAAAAAAAAAGAAGAATCAAAAAGGGAGAAGATGAACCTAAAAAAAGAAAGAGATGGTTAAAACAGTTCTTAAAATCACCTCTACAAGTCGGGCATGCACACTTCACACGTGTGCCTTGGTGAGCCCTGGTGCATGGTGTCAGGTAGGAAACCATTTGACTTCCTTTTTCATTTTGCAGAAAGCAGAAGCCACTGGAGAAAAACGGCCACGAGGCCGACCTAGGAAATGGGTGAGTAATAAGAAACAATTTCTACTTTTGTCTTCTAATGAAAAGTTTCTGTTTATTTAAATGAAGGTTACTTTTACTTTTTCAGTGTCATGCATGTCTAGCTTCAGGTGCCATGAATCTTGGAAAGGGTTAAGGCGAGCGAAAGATTATCACCACTCCTTACCATTAGCTCCAGGAGCTGACTCAGAACACTTTTTTCCCCCCTGGGAGTGACTCCTTTTTCTATCTCTTATCAACATGAAAAGAGTCTCCCCTCTGCCTTCAAGTCGGGTAACAATGAGATGACTTGTTCAGTGGGTTGGGTAACTAAGGTGAAAGGGTATTATGAAACTTCAGAAGTTGATTACAAATGGTGATAAAGTTCAGATGAAATGTGCTTGAGATAACTTTTTAACGTTTTCTTTCTCTTTTGTTTCCTTTGTGGCTTTGCTCTAGACACATCTCATTTTCTAGGTGGTTTGTGCGTGTTTTTTCCATATTGGCTTTGTAAGAAAGCCAAGTTTTAATCTCTAGTTTTTCTTGCTTCCCTTAGTCATTCTTACATCCCGATGGTATCCACAGTGGCTTCCATGCCTGTGCTCTTGACCCTGTAGGCACACACATCTATTTGAGGCCAGACACTCAGTGATCACGAAAGAGCTTCGCTCATTTTACCACTTGAACCTCCTCCCGTTTGCTGCTATGCTGCCATGTTCCTCTGGTCTGTCTTTCCCATGGACAGAAGAGAAAAGTCTTAAAAATGAGTAAAACCGTTTCTCAAGAAAGAGAAAGGCATCCCCTCTACATGGTATTGTCACTGATGGGGTCTTCACCTTTCCTTTTCTCTGTTCCTTGGCTTGTGATTCACAGCGTTTCTCTGCTGCTCTGCTGGATTCTGTTTTCCTGTTAGTTTGCCATTTCTTCCTCTAAAGTTCTGCGTCACGTTCTATTTATACCTGGGTATTGCTTTTCATTTAACTTATTCATCTTGTATTTTTTTTTCCCCTCTGCTCAACATGTGTTGGGATTAGATTTCTTAGAACAAGGAAATGGGGTTGATCTTTAGATTAAACACATCTCAGTGTTACAGCGTAACCTTAAAGTAAGAGCATTTCATTCAAACTCCTGGTCAGTAAATGAATTCTCTCCAAACCCACCCACCAGGTGATGATCATCTAGACTGTGTTCGATTACCTTGAATGTTAAGGAACTCACCACCTCTTAAGGCTGCCTTTTCTTTCCTGGGAAGCTCAGAACATTAGAGAATTCTTCCATCTGACTCCCTCTAGCTCAGTGGTTCTCAACCTTCCTAATGCCGTGACCCTTTAATACAGTTCCTCATGTTGTGGTGACCCCCAATTTCATTGTTACAAATTGAACATAATTAAAGCATAGTGATTAATCACAAGAACAATATGTAATTATATATGTGTTTTCCAATGGTCTTAGGCGACGCCCCTGTGAAAGGGTCGTTCGACCCTCAAAGGGGTCGTGACCCACAGGTTGAGAACCGCTGCCTAGCTTCTGCTAATTGTCCCTAGGCCTCTCTTCTGGGAATACACAGAGTAATTGTTTTCATTTTCACTCATGATAGCCCTTCCAATATTTGAAGACAATGTACATACACCCTTTTTCTCTTTTCTGGTTTGAATATCTCCAGTCCTTTCCTTTACCCCCGCCCCCCATAAATGAATATTCTTGTTACTCTCTTCTAAGTATGTTTGATTTTTAATCTTTTGAAATATACCACCCAGAATTAAGTGTCCGGGCTCTACAACCATTGGTTTACCACCTCTCTTGTACATAGAATTCTAGCTACCTATTATACCTTAATCAACCACCCCCAAACTTAATAATGTAAAAAAAAAAGCCATTTTATTATGCTCGTGGGTTCTCTGGGTCAGGAGCATGTGCTGGGCACGGCAGAGAGGCTTGTCTCTGCTGCATGCTGTCTCAGGCCTCAGCTGGGAGGGCTCGAGCAGCAGGGGTGATGCCCGTGCTTGGAGCCTGGCATCAGGAGGCTTCCTCCCTCACAGTCTGGTGCTTTCATGGGATTTGCTGAAAGTCTGGGTGCAATTGAGAATGACTGGATCACCCACACGTGCCCTACCAGCCTTCTGACATGCACCGAGGCCTGCTGGAGGGAGTGTTCTGCCCAGTCAGGAGGAAGCTGCAAAGCCTTTTTTGACTGACTCAGACGTCAAAAAGTGCTACTGGCATTCTACTCTCATGAGTGCTCTGTTAACTAAGGTGGTATTGGCATGCATATTGAATATAGATCTGCCATTTTCAAGCCTCAGAACTTTGAAAGGATATCCTATCCCACTGAACTAATCAATAAGACCTGTATAAACTTTCTAATAGGCAACATAATAGAAAATAGGCTCTTTGAAGTCATGAGATTAATGCAGTGAAATAAATTATAAGCAAACACAATGGAAGTTGACCCAGCACAATAGCTGTCAAACCCCTCCAGCTTTATTGAGATATAATTGACATATAGCATTGTGTAAGTTTAAGGAATACAACATAGTGATCAGATACATTTTACACATATTGCCAAATGATTAGCACAGTAACATTAGTTCATACCTCCATCACCTCACATAATTACCATTTCTCTTTTTGTGGTGAGAACATTTAAGTGCATAAAATAGTATTGTTGACTATAATCACCATGATAGATCCCCAGAACTTATCCTATAACTGGAATTTATATCTTTTGACCAAATCTTCTCATTTGCCCCACCTACCAGCCCTTGGCAACCACTGTGCTACTCTCTGTTTCTAGAAGTTTAGCTTTTCTAGATTCCACATATAAACGATATCATAACAATATTTGTCTTCCTCTGTTTGACTTATTTCACTTAGCACAATGCCCTCCAGTTCTATGCACCAAAATGGCAGGATTTCCTTCTTTCTCGTGGCTAAGATAGATAGATATAGATAGATAGATAGAGATACATACACCCCACATACCCCATAGCTCCTTTATGCATTCATCCATAGGTGGACACTTAGGCTGTTTCCATACCTTGCCTCTTAACTGGTCTTTCTACCTTTCATCTCCCCTACCTATGGGCTATCCTATACTGTTTTCCCATTGATCTCCATAGGTTACAGTCATGTCACTGCTCTTCTCAGAATCTTTCTGTGGTTCCATAGCTGCCCACTGAGTTAATGACAGCCTGCCTTAGCACTTTGAGATCTCTACGGTTTACCCCTCCTATCTTTACAGCTTTATTTCCTACTACTCATCTCCACACAACTGATGTTTCAGCCAAGCTGGAATAAAATATGGATTTATTAAATGAATTCTTGCTCATTTGGGGGAGATCTGGATTGCAGGCAGCTGACCTTCTGCTGGATAAGAAACCCATGTGATGCCTTTCTGAGAATCATTGGGTCGTCCTCATTGATTCTCATGGTTTCTCATTTTTTCTGGCTGTCAGAATGGAAAATGTTATGTAGGGAATTTTTATATGCCCCTGACTTGTTCCCCAAAGAAGAGGTGTTCTACTCAGAAGAGGAAATAAAAGGAAATGGTGTATTTTTTCTAGACAGCGTGTTTCCTCTTTGCTTGTATATATTCTGTTGGGTTGAGTATGCAGCCAATCAGAGCAATGCATCCAGTTTAATGACATTCTTCACTGGAAAGCTTGTACCAAGGAAATAAATTATTGCATTTTCCATAGGAAATGGGTTTGTACTTCATAGTAAGTTCAATGCTTTCCAACAATGTCATTCACTGATTTCCTTGTATTAGAGATATATTTTTCAATTGACTGGATTTACTAAGTACATGGTCCAAAAGCCAAGTTGCTCCCCTGTTATTCTTTTGGGTGGTTTGTTTTGTTTTAAAGTTCTTTTGCTTTAAAAAAGATGTCTTGTAAATCTTATAGTGTGGCGTAACAGGCCTGGAAAAACATGCCTACAGTGTGACCCTCTCATCTGATGTGATTGGGATCTGTATTTGGTAGGTTATTCAAAGGTTGATTAACCAAAAGTGTGTACTAGTAGATGTAGGAGAGAAAGTTGTGTAAAGGAAGGAGAGAGAAGTACAACCTAACTTTTCTCCTGCTCTTAATTGTTGGGAACTCAGGGTCTGGATTCAGATGGCTTGGGTTCAAATTCTAGACTATCACTTGACTAGTTATAATCTTGAGCAAATTACATGCCCTTTTAAAGGTCCAGTTTCCTCATCCTTAAAAAAAAGTGGTAAGAGCAGTACATTTCTCAGAGTTGTTTAGAGGATTAAATAAGATATGCTTGCAAAAGAAAAAAAAAAAGGCTTAATAACAGGCAAGCCACATGCCAAGTGCTCAATAAATGTTAGAAATTATGCTTACTTTCACCATACACTTTTATGTAGATATCACTCCAAGCCTAAATTCTAATTACTTGTAACTACCAGTAGTTACACATGGAGTAAAGTAATAATAGCTGTGCATCAAATTAACCAAGTGCCTTGGTGGTATCATATGTCTTCAATACATGCTGAACATCATCAAGTTTAAGAATTGCTAATAATACTGAAGTACACGGTAAGTCTATTTACAGTTAAGGGGAACATTTTAAATTATGGTTTATAAGCCTTCTAATTATAGAGCTTTGGTGTCTTGTGTTGTTGATCAATTTGAAAAGTAGTATTCCTGCTGTTTGCCTCACAATGCGAGATGTTCTGGTTTCTCACAACCTGTATTGAGTTCCATTAGTCCTCTTGCCAATTGAATCTATGCATTTAATATTTGCATTTCTCAATGTTTGCCTAGGAAAGGATCTCCTCACCTATCTGAGTTAGTGATGGAAATATTTGGAAAAAGTTTTAGACAGTGAAGCTTAAGGCTCAAGGATACAATGGAATAAATAATAAACATGTTAGTTAACCTCAGATATGAAATGCTCCATCCAGGTGTTGTTTATTGAAGCAATGGGTACTTCTGGGGGAAAAGAAGCAAGGACAAAATAATAAAGAATAAACCAATGAGAAAAAGATGTGTTTAGGTGTTTTGTTTTCAGAA